GGTCCCGCCGAGCCGGGCCAGGGAGGCGGAAGAGGAGGCCGATCCCGGCGCGGGCGTGAGGAGGCGGGCAGCAGAGGCCCGGGCGGGGACAGGCTGGCTGGGAGAGTGGAGGGAGGGGGCCGTGCTCCAGGCCCCGCGAGTCCACTGGACACCTCTGGGAGACTCAGGAGTGTGCGTGGGCTTAGGGCTGGATCTCACGGCCCCCTCCCGCCTCATTGCCGGACTGTCCTGGAGCAAGTCACGGCCTGTCACGACAGAGGCGGGACTGCGGGGAGCTGGAGACAGGCTCCGCCCCCGTGCCCGCCCGTCCTGCACCTGCTGACCCCAGGGCTGTGGCAGAGGACTGTGGCAGGGGCGCCCGGGTGAACCAGGACGGAATCTTGCCTACCTCACTGGACTGCACTGGGCCTGGGATGCCTGCCCACCCTCAGGCAGAAGACGCCCCCCAGGTCGCCTGTAGAAAGACTCTGGGACCCCATCCCCTCAAAGCTGGGGGGGCCCAAGTCACAGCTAACAGCACTTGAGCCTCAAGGATGCAAGCCTGGCCACAGGATCTTGACTCCAAGGGCCGCCTCCCACCCCTCAAGCCCACCCGGAAGCTTCTTTGGAGGCAACTGAGAACACTCCTGCAAGTGGCTACCTGGTAGCCTCCCTGAAGCCTCAGGCACCCAGCCCATGGACCCCCACATCTGCAGAGTAGCCTTGGGCTTCCCTGGCTTCCTCCACTCCCACTTGGAAGCAAGCAGCCAGCTGCCTAATCTCAGGCAATGCCCAGGAAGAGCTGGCTGGTGGCAGCGTGGCAGCCGGCCAGGGATGTGGGACAGTCCCTCTGTGGGGGGCAACAGGAGGACTCGAGAGCTGGCAGGAAAACTCCAGTTCATTCCCATTAAAGGACCTTCTGAAGGACTTCTCTATGTCTGTCTGGTATTCTTTTTCTCTGCTTTTGGAAAGGGCCATGCCGTGGTCTCATCACCAGCAGGGAGGTATGTCACACCTCTCTCCAAGCCTGTTTTCTCATCTTTTTTTGTTTTTTTGAGTCAGTCTCACTCTCACCCAGGCTGGAGTGTAGTGGCATGCTCACAGCCACTGCAGCCTCAACCTGCTGGGCTCAGACGATCCTTTCACCTTGGCCTCCCATGTAGCTGGGACTGCAGATGTATGTCACCATGCCAGGCTAATTTTTTGAGTTATTGTAGAGATGAGGTGTCACCAAGTTGTCCAGGCTGGTTTTGAGTTCCTGGGCCCAGGCAGTCCTCCTGTCTTGGCCTCCCAAAGTGCCGGGATTACAGGCATGAGCCACTTCACTGGGCCTGTTTCCTCATCTTTAGGATGTGGGCAAACAGGCCCTGGTTTGTGGTTGCATTATGTGTGGGTCAGCTGCCAGAGGTTGGGGGTCAGGAGTCGGGCACAATGAAGGAATTTCTGCAGTTGCATGTTGAGGAGAGATGGTCTCCCTGATGGGCACACCTTTCTCTTCACCCACCATCCCCCATGAAGCAACCCACAGACAACTCACCGTGAACAGAACTCATTCTGTTGCCCCCAAATCTCCATATTTCCCATCTCACTGGCTGCACTGACCCAGCTGGGAGTCCAGACTGGTTCCTAAAACCTTCTCTATCCCTTGCCATGTATCTGACCTCATCAGTTTCCCTTGGCTGAGCTGTGACAGGTCTTTGGAATCCAAACAAGGCATTTCATCTCCGCCACTCTTGCAGGTCAAGCCACCAGTGGGCTTGGGTCTGGTCACTCACAGCAGCAGCACCTGAACTCCCAAGCCCACCCCCTTCATGCTCCATAGGGCAGCCATTCTTGTGGCTTCGAGAAGCATTCAGAAACGTGAGTGCCTGCAGGAGCTTGGTGGCAGTGTGAATACATGAGGTGGCCAGGTTTCGGGGGGAGATGCCCGCGGTGTGAAATATTCAGACTCGGTGTTGGGACTCAACACATTGGAGAGGGAGTTCCCCGTCAGGGGAGGGAGATGGCCACTTGGCTCTGGAGGAATGCAGACTGGATGCTGGGGCTTCCAAATACTTTCAAACGTTCCACTGGTTCACGTTATATGGAATCCATTGATTTCCCAATGTTGACAACCAAGTCCAATGTTATGTTTTACAAATGTATGGACAGCCTGGGCATGGTGGCTCATGCCTGTAATTACAGCACTTTGGTAGCCCCAGTGGCTGAGGTGGGAGGATCGCTTGAGCCCAAGAGTTGGAGACCAGCCTGGGTAACATAGTCAGACCTTCTCTCTACAAAAAAAAAAAAAAATTAATGAACAGACCAAACAATGTGTTGGTGTTTGTATCCAGCCTCACAACTGTGTTTCAGCCACTAGCTTACAAGTTCCCCAAGCCCCGCAAGTTGGAATTTGAGGATCTAGTCCTTGGAAGCCACCCTCTAGCCATTTGATGCATCTGAAAATCTCCAGAATAGTTAGGATGGCTCAACACACTAAACGCTCTGCCTGGAATCTGCCCACTTACCTGGCACGCTCAGGTTGCTCTCTGCCATCATCGTTTAAGTGTCGCCTCTCCCCTAGGAAGCTTTTCCAGCCCCACCCCACCCTGATAATATGACTCCTCGGTACTCCCTCAGCCCTGGTGATATGTTCTTGTCCCTCATATTGCCTCATGCTGAGTCTTCCGCATGGGTCCCGGTGGCCATGCTGGGCGGGGCACCCTGGCCTCACCCAGGCAGCATCATCCTACCCAGTTTCATCTTCAAGTTTCAGAATTGAGGTTCCCGGGGACTGGAGCCCAAATTGTGCAGTGGCATTGCTGGGTGCCCCGGAGGTCCTGTTGTCCAGGACCCCAGGCCCCTCTTGTGGCAAAGTGACTATGCACACTGCCTGGCACGCATCTCATTGCTCTGAGGGCCAACACAAGAGCTCTGGGTGGGCCTAGGTCTTGCAAATCACCCCCCTTGGGGGGCAGGCACCATGACGGAGCTGTAGAATTAACGTGAGTCTGCACCAGGATGCCATACGGGGTGGCTTGATGGGGATGCTCTTCTATCTTACCTGAGGCTAGAGAGGGAGGTGCAATTCACCTGTTCCCCCAGTGCCCAGCTTAGGACTTGACACATAGGAGGCTCCAGGGAATCGCAGAGTGAAGTAAGGCCGAAGGCATCACGGAAGGAGGAGAGTCCGGCCCATTAGGTCAGACACACACCTGTCTTGTTCAGCCCATTTACAACTCACAGACTAATGTTTGGAGTGTGGCAAATCCCCAGTGAGTCCCTACTGAGCGGGAACGTGAGTGCCAGGCAGAGGTGCCGGGAAATCAGCACCCCAGGGGCCACCAGCATCCCCAATCTGGTGCCCTGCCCGCACTTGGTCCCCTCTCCCGGGAGGCAAGTACGGACTCCAGCGGGCCTGGTGATAAGGTTTATTACTCTCTGCTCTGTACAAGCCGCGTCTGCTACCCCGCCCCCCACCCCACAATCCAAAAGAGCACCCTGCCCCCCTCGCGTCCCCCCAACGGCTCGGGTTCCACTGTCCAGCCAGACTCCAGAGGAAAGGGCGGGGCGTTCCCACCGACTCTACCGCAGCTTATCGGGGCCAGGATTCTTCCGGGGGAAGGGCTCATGGGGGGTCCGAAAGGGGTTGGACGGAGGATCCAATTCAGCGAACGACGGGACGTGGGGAGGGCGCAGCGGCCCAGG